CTCATCGTATTTTCTGATTGAAGACGTCAAATAATTACTGCAATTGAAACCTTTATATGATTTTGTAAATAATGATTCTGGAGCAAGCTAAACTGGATGTTATGAGGCAGTTTGGCCAACGTTCAAGTTCATAAAGTTCAATCTCGTAAATATAGTTTAATGGTTAGGAAACTCAAATCCGGAAAATTTTGATCAAAATACAAACACATTTCTTATTACCTTACTTATTTTCTGTTGGTCCTGTTGGAAATGTTGACAATTCCAGCAACAAGTAAAATTTTTTGAGAAAATTAAGAATAAAAGTTTGCCCCTGTTTTACACGGTTTACACTTCTATTTAAAATTTACCTAACAATGCCACTATTTCATTAGAAAAGATTAAAATTTTAGAACATGTAAATTTGTAAAAGTTTTTTACACTGAATCTATTATCAGAGCATCGAACCGTAATTTTTTCGTTTCGGTTTACGGTTTCGGTTCAGTCTGCAAAACAAATTTCGGTTCGGTTCCGGTTTTCGTTCCTAAAATAATATCGGTTTTTTTGGTTTTCGGTTTCGCTCGACACTTAGTTTTTTCAAGTATAATTCTTTAAATATATGTAACGAACATCCCACTATCACCACTATGTCAACTTGAGTTAAATTTTACAACTTGTGAATAATAAGAAATCAATAACAAAAATGATTTTTAAATGTTGTCAGTGTAAAAGAAAACGTTTCTAATATTTTTTTTAACAAATTAAAACAAGCACTTCCAATTTTACCATTCCAGTCTCCAACAATGACCTTAACATCTTTCTTTGGTAATGTTTTCAATGTTTGTTTCAGTTGTTCGTAGAACGTTTCAACTTCATCATCCAAATGATTTGTTGCTGGAGCATAAGCAACTATCACAATAATATCCTTTGAATCTGGCATACAGCAACCTGTCATTTACGGAATTGTATTCAATTAAGACTCTTCTTGCTTTCTCTCCAAGAATCATTCCCACTTCATAAATATGCTTGGTTTCTGTGCCTGACCATAACAGTTTTCTCCAATTTTCAACTTCCTGTCCATCTAACTTCACACAAACCAGCCACATCATATCTGAACCTCTCAAGCTCCTTTTTCAGCATCGCATATGTTCCATCTTGCCACAGTGACCTCACATTCCAAATTCCAACCGTGAATTTCATCTTCATTTTACCTCTTTGGGACTGCTGAGTTGTCAGCTTCAATTTTTTCGGAGACAATTCTCTCGATAGGTGATGAGCCAGAACATGCAACACAAAAAATTCTTACGCAGCTGAATGCTGTAATTGAAGTAAGTGCTTCATCAGACATGCCTGGAACCAAGAACGACACCGAACAACCGTCACATACTACATTAATGCCTTCCTTATCACAAGCAGGTGCTTTGTTGGCACTCTTTGTATTTCTACCGTCATTATTGCAACATAAAGTTATCAAAATACACGTAAAAATCTTTTGAATCACATAAATCACGTAATCACGCAAATATTTTAGTTCAGTTCGCGAATCTGTAAAATTAGCACAGCACAAAACAAAATTTCAAAACAAACGATACAACTTCAGAAACTGTCCCACAATATCGATACAACTATAGCTGTCCAATTTCGTCGATTTAACACTAATTATAATTAAATTAAGATAGACTAATTAAATAATACAAAATTAACTGAATCTAATTAATTGTAATAAAAACATAATAACACCTTATTCAGCAAAAATCCGACAATTAAACGCCACCAAATTCAATAAAAAACCGGACAATAACCAGTAAAAATAAGAAAAAATACACAGCAAAGAAACCACAACCAGCATTAGCAAATAGCAAACGTGTGTATGCTATGCATGTATATATATATATATATATATATATATGTGTGTGTGTGTGTGTGTGTGTGTGTGTGTGTGTATTTATTTATATATATAATTAGAGATGCACCGGATTTAGGTTTTTCAAATGGCCGGAGGATTTAAAATTCAAAAACCGGCCGAGGCCAGGGCCGGATTTTAGTTACCATTTTACATACGTTAGAAAAAATACATTTACGGTTATCTACATATTGAACATAAAAAAATAATACAAAGCAAATAGTTATTTAATTCAAATATATGAATAAGCTGTGTGATACGCCAAATACGTTCTAGTTAAACTTATATATTAATAGTTGAGTTTCCAATACACTTATTGTTAATGATAAAAAACCAGATATAAAATGATATCATGATATTATAAAGTGTTGATTGTTTTTTTTTTTTTTTTTTTGAAAAAATTCCAGTGTACAAAAAAAGTTTATTATTTCACATGTAAATAGTTAAATAAGTGAAGCATTTTAAGAATATCAGCTTCTCAGCGTTGTTAGGGAGCTGTCTTGTGCGATGCTCAGTGATGATGTCTCTAGCCGTGCTAAACAATCTTTCGGATGGTAGACTTGTTGGTGGAGGTGCTAGGTAAACTTTTGCAACCTTTGTTATGGTTGGATACTTTCTAGTGTTAAACTTCCACTGGGTCTTGCTGTCGCTGTAGCAATGGTTCTCCCAAGAAAGTTATGCTATCTTGAAGTGATCTGTTGTTAGAAAGAATTGTTACTTCATTTTCCAACATATCTTCGAAACAGTCCCACAATTTTGAAGATGATTCGTCAACACGTCTTTTTTTGTTGGCTTCTGGGATTGCACATCCTCTGATGTAGACTCTTGGTTATTTTGAGGAGACAATTTAGTGGCAGCAAGCACAACTCCTGCCTTCGCTTCGGTACAAGTCGCACCATGAAGAATCTTGAATGTGGGGATGTCCCGAATTAACTGGTGTTTTGGCAGATTTAAATCCGCTTGCAAAGTGTGCAAACAATCCGTGGCTGATGACGAGTGTTTGAATTGCCCTACTAGTTTATGTCCAACTTTCAGGAGATCACTAACACCACGTTAACTTAATATACCATCGTTGATACAGAGTTGAACCGTGTGGGCAAAACAAGGTGCACTTTTAATGTTTCCATCTCGGAAACAATTGGTAATATTTGCCGCATTGTCTCGCAAAACTAAATGACACTTGTTTCGTGAAATGTTCCAATTTTCAAGTGACTTATCAAACGCTGATAGTAGATTTGCCTGAACATGACCTGAATATTTTACACACTGCAAAACATAACTTTGGCGTTCGAACGTAGGAGTTAACCAATGGACTGTCAATCCTAAATATGACTCCGTTGTTATGTCTGCTGTTTATGTATCTGTTAAAAACGCAAGGCTCTATGCTCTAGCTACCTTTCCTTCAGTGATGAAGACGCTTTTTCAAAAAGATCAGAAATTACACGTTCGGTGAAAGTATTTTCACCGAACGTGTAATTTCTGATCTTACCTTATCTCCAAGATTTTCAACAGATTGATAAATCCTGATTTTTCGACGATCTGGTATAGCTCAATAACTATCGTTATCATTTTAGCAATCGCCACATGGATACGCTTAGCATTGTCATTGTTTATATCCCAAGGTTTTTGTTTGTCAAATGCTTCTCTAATTTTTTGCTGGGTGGGTTGGATGGATCCATTTTCTAGCAAACTAGCATCACTGTCATTTGAGGTGGCATCTTCGCATTTAACGGCTACTGCAATCGAAGACTTTAAACTGTTCATATCATCATACTAAAGTGGATGCTTTGACCTTAGATGAGTAATCAAAGACGTTGAGAAACCTTAGGGGTTATCAGGCTTACCCCGCGACAATACTGCATTGCATTGCTTACAAACTGCCTTTGATTTATCGCTTGTTTTAACGTCAAAAAACGCCCATACTCCGGATTTCTTTTCAGCCATTTTTATAAAATTCACCAATAATAAAAAATGCTTAATAAATGTATTGTTCTTAAATTAGGCGCTTTATAGCTGTATCATCCGTCATATACTATTATATATAAGTGCACAATTTTTTGTACACGAAGATCAGCATGTAATTTATGCATAACCCATGTTATAGCATAAAGAAAATTGTCCAGCTCACCTCACAATTAGTGATGTTGTTATTATGTGTCATGTATGCACGTGCACAAGTTCTTTTACACAAAGATCAGCTTATAATTTATGCATAACCTATGTTATAGCACAAAGAAAATTGTCCAGCTCAGCTCACAATAAGTGATGTTGTTATTATGTGCCATGTATGCCTAGCCTAACCTTTAACATACAATGTTCTTAAATTATGCGCTTATATATATATATATATATATATATATATATATATGTATATATATTATGTAGCTATATGATCCATTATATACAATTATATAGTATAAACACGTGCACAAGTTCTTTTACACAAAGATCAGCTCATAATTTATGCATAACCTATGTTGTAGCATAAAGAAAATTGTCCAGCTCACCTCACAATTAGTGATGTTGTTATTATGTGTCATGTATGCACGTGCACAAGTTCTTTTACACAAAGATCAGCATGTAATTTATGCATAACCTATGTTATAGCACAAAGAAAATTGTCCAGCTCAGCTCACAATAAGTGATGTTGTTATTATGTGCCATGTATGCACGTGCACAAGTTCTTTTACACAAAGATCAGCTTATAATTTATGCATAACCTATGTTATAGCAAAAGAAAATTGTCCAGCTCAGCTCACAATTAGTGATGTTGTTATTATGTGCCATGTATGCCTAGCCTAACCTTTAACATACAATGTTCTTAAATTATGCGCTTATATATATATATATATATATATATATATATATATATATATATATATATATATTTTGTAGCTATATGATCCATTATATACAATTATATAGTTTAAACACGTGCACAAGTTCTTTTACACAAAGATCAGCTCATAATTTATGCATAACCTATGTTGTAGCATAAAGAAAATATTCCAGCTCACCTCACAATTAGTGATGTTGTAATCATATATGCTTAGCCTTTAACTTATTGACATAAAATTAATTGAATTCAATAAAAATTTTTTTCTATTTATAACATTTTTAAATGTCGATAGACGCTCAAATCCGGCCACCAAAAAAAGCAGGATTTTGGCCGGGGCCGAACTTCGGTGCATCCCTAATATATATATACATATATATATATATACATGTTTACTGTGCAGTTGTTAATAAATTTTCTGATAATTATTGGCTGATTTCTATGATTTATTTGGTTTTTTTGGGTTAAAAATTACATATTTACTTAAAAAATATATAGAAAACATTTTAATTTATTTAATTTAAAAGTTTTTGTTTAAATTACTTAATTGCGAGGTTTTTTCAGTTTAATTTGTTCTTGCCCGTATGTGCACAGTCCACCTGTTTATTGTACACGCTAAGCTAATTTAATTTGCGTTCGAGTTTAATAGTTGACTTGTACACTGCGTTGGATAAAACTGAATTAATAATTGTTTTGTGTCACGACTTGATTGACAACATTATGGCTGAAAAAACTAAAAAAAAAATGCCACCAGAGTTGTCAAGGAAAATCAAAATTCAAGTTTTCAATGTTTCCTTTGCAAAGTTTCATTTTCTCTCTCTGTTGTTCTGTCTGAAAAAAATTACAACGCCGTCAAGATAATCGGTAACATCAAATTTTTCTGTGATGCGTGATTAGGCAAAATCTGCTTATCTTTGGATAAGCAGATTTTGAACAGGATCGATAATAACAACGTAGAAATAATTGCTGAAATGAAAAAGTTCAGGGAAAAAAACAAAAAGATCATATCTGAGGTCACGGCTATTAAAACAATCATAAATTCAAATGAAAAGAAAATGAATCCGTTAGATACATCGGGCACTAATCTATGTGATCAAATTGCTAGCTTGAAAACTGAAATGAAGAAATCGTTTTCGGACGAGTGTGTAGGTGAAGAAAAGCGTTCAGTCTCTAAATGTAGATGTCAAGAATGTTCAGAAGACGTTGATGGATGTAGTCGATCACAGAGATAGAGAAGCCAATCTGATGATGTTCAAATTGAGTGAAGGTCCTGACGACAAGGCAAGGGTTTGTAAAATTATTGATCATTTGACCGGGGTTGAGTGTAGTGAGAAGAGCATACTGAGGATGATGCGGATTGGCAAAAAAAGTGACAGTACTGTTAGGCCAATTTTCATAAAATTCAACAATGTCAAGGTTAAGACGCTGGTCTTCAAAAACATTTGAAATATGAAGTCACTGGATAGAGACTTGGCTAGTGCCAGGTTAAGTCACGATCTCAGTAATGACCAGAGAATTGAACTTAAGAAGTTACTCAATGAGGCTAAAGATATGGAGTTATGGAGGTAGAATGCAAGGAGAGTTTTTTTATACCGGGTAAGAGAAGATGTGGGAAGGTGGAAGATAGTGCGGTTTCCTGCAAACAAAAAATCAAATTAATCAATGGTATAATTGGCTTTACCTACAGTCTGACTGATCTTGGATGATGATGAATTCAACGGTGGCAGACTAGTAAACAGTGTCAGATTTGAATTGTTGAATGTGAGGTCAATTGGGCCAAGTGTGAACGTCATTTATGGGTTCATGGGCTTATATGTGATGGTTTAGGTGTTTTGGTGCTTACTGAAACGTGGCATGGTACGGTTGGTAACAATTCCGTCAGATTAGTGATGCAACCGGGGTATTGGTTGGGAACACGTCTGGTAAATAATTTAAACAGTTAAATTGTTGGCATTAGCCAATTTAAAGTTTGCCTTATCAATTTTCTTTGCAAGAATTTTCTGGAAATTTTTCAATATTTTAGAATAAAATTTTTATCCAAATTCACCATGCAAAATTATTAAAACTATTATTATCCAAATTTATCGTGCAGATAGGCCTATTTCTATTTTTCACAAATCATCTTCAGTGCTGATAAATTGAACAATTTCCAGAAAATTTTAGTAAGGAAAATAGAAAAGATAAACTTTAGATTGGTTAATGCCAACAATTCGGTGGAATTCATACAATTCTCAATAAAACATTTACGTAGATAATTAAATAGTGGATGTGATGCTACTTTGAGAGACTTTACGTTTTTAAAGTTTTTTCATTCCAGATGGCGTGATGATATCGCTTGTTGGCCGCTCAGAAATTGCTGACATGCTTAAATTACAAAGATTCAACATATGCTGCGAGCAAAAAAACACGATGGAGATCGAATAGTTTCTCTCTCATCGGGTCAAATGGAAGGAGTTTTAAGTTGTTTTGGATTGGCCAAAAAACGGCTCAAAATGATGTCGGGATCTTTATCCGGGAGTCATTGGTCCAGAATTTATTGGAGGTAACTTGGGTCAGCTCACGTCTGATGTGGATTAAGCTCTGAGTAGAAAAACAAATATTGACCGTTTTTTCTGCCTACGCACAACAGACGGATGAACCCGAAGATGTCAAAAACGACTGCCGGAAAATGCTCTCAGATGCCGTCAGGAGAGTACTTTCATCAAAGATACTGTTGATTGGTGATGATCTCAACAGTCACGTTAGAAAGAAAACAAATGAGTTCTGTAGTGTGCACGGAGGTTTTGATCATGGTGATCAGAATGAAGATGGTGTTCGGATTCTCAAGTTTACTGAAGATCATGAATTCTAAGATCACGTAAAATGTGAGATGTCATGAACGCAAATTGGCTTTATAGTTGTAAGGATACAGTATCTTTGTGTTATTGTTGAGTATCTCTCTAGTAATTGATATTCCGTGATTATCGATTAAATGATTTCTATGCACCTCTTCGTGTCAATGTAGTAGTAGTGTGTCCGAAACTAAAAAAGACTAATAAATATACAAAAAAACTGTAACTTTATTACCTACAAAAAAAAATTAATAACAAAGAGAAGTAGTGAATCAACACAAAATGAATTATTAGAGCCAACAAATTAGGAACGCAAAGTCAATTTTTGAAGCCAATAAAGTTGAAACGCACAGATGTATTTATATATAAGATACGACAAATAGTTGATAACATACTACATTGAAAATAGTATAACATTACCGAAAAAGCTTAATCTGTATAAAACAAAAATGAATAAAAAAAAGTAGTTAAAAACTTTGTTTTCTATATAAATAAATTAAAAAACAATGTCCTGAAGAAATAAGCCAATAAAGTTGAAACGCACAGATGTATTTATATATAAGATACGACAAATAGTTGATAACATACTACATTGAAAATAGTATAACATTACCAAAAAAGCTTAATCTGTATAAAACAAAAATGAATAAAAAAAAGTAGTTAAAAACTTTGTTTTCTATATAAATAAATTAAAAAACAATGTCCTGAAGAAATAAGGCACGAGAAAGAAGAAACAAATTTAGAAAGATATTTAAGACTTGAATACTTAAATGTTGCAAGTGAATTGAACTATAGTACTTGAACATGTAAACATTTGAACGACAAAAATGAAGACTTTTATTTTTTTGACTCAATATTAACAAATTCTATTGCAACTGCAGCAAAAAAGTGAAAGTAAAATATGATTAATTTTGTGGCATAATTAAGGTTAAAAGTGAATTCGAGTCCATTTGAATAACTAGTTTTTTCTGAACTTGAAACTGACCTTTCTGGTTTACATGACCTAATTTCAATGCAGCTTTGGTAGATTCTTTATATAAAATAACAACTTCACTCATTTTTATTAACAAAACTTTAACGGCTCCTGAGGTAAGATTTGAGTATTTTCAGCCCACAGACTGTCAGCTTCATTCAGCAAAATTTGCTTATTACCCGCGTTACAAGCCGTTAGCGGTGGTATGCCGCCTTTTGTTTAGCAAAGGCCTATATATTTCATTCTATACATTGATTAAGAATATTAAAATAAAATAATTAAACGAAAATACTAACTATAGTAAATTTTATTATTTAATATAAAATTCAGGATAAAAATGATACTAGAAAAACAAAATTATTTATCAAAATATAAATTACTTTAAAAAAAAGTTCATGAAACAAATTTATAACAAATTTTGAAACGAAAGGATCAATTTTTATTATCTTTGGTAAATCTTTTCACAACATAAATTTTTTTTGCCTTGTTCTGCGGAGCGTTGTTTGCATAACTTTAAATGTAATTGTTTTGTTGATTTTAGATATAAAAATTGATAAAGTCCTTGGCAAATTTTGAATTCATTTTCAGCAAAATTTTTTGAACTTATCTTTTTTCGCATTATAAATTTACTATGATAGTAAAGGAGTTCAGAATTGTCCTGCCTATGACAGTAGATGAGTATCAGATAGCTCAATTATACTCAGTTGCGAAGGCCAGCAAAGACGAAACTGGAGGCGGAGACGGAGTAGAAATAATTAGAAATGAACCATTTACTAGTACAACTGGTATACAACCTGTAACACCTCTTTGTAACGGTGAATATACTAATGGTCAGTTTACTCATAAAATTTATCATATTGCTAGTAAAGTGCCAGGTTTTATTCGCTGGCTTGCTCCAAAAGGTTCTTTAGAAGTTGCGGAAGAGGCCTGGAATGCCTTTCCTTACTGTCGAACTGTTCTTACGAATCCAGGATATATGAAAAAAAATTTTTTGATTAAAATAGAATCAATTCATCTTCCGGACAGAGGAGAAACAGAAAATGCACATGGTCTTGATGAATTGACTTTGAAGAAAAGGTCAATAGTGATAATTGATATAGCTAATGATCTGGTGGATCCAAGAGATATCAACCAAAATATTGATCCCACCACATATAAATCGGTCAAGACTGGTAGAGGACCCCTCATTGGACCAGATTGGCAAAAAACCTGCCAGCCTGTGATGTGTTGTTACAAATTAGTTACTGCAGAATTTAAGTGGTATGGACTACAAGATAGGGTTGAAAATATAATATTTAATGGTGAAAAAAGATTATTCTTTAAATTTCATAGAGAACTTTTTTGCTGGACGGACGAATGGTATGGCTTAACTTTAAATGATATTCGAATTCTGGAAGAAAAAACAAAAAAAGAACTAGATGATCAGAGGAATACAGGAGTAGTTCGAGGTATGATGGAGGAGAGCCATTAATTTTAGTTTTTGTTTAATAAAGTTTTTGTGCAAAATTACCTGTGTGAACTTGTGCATTTTCATATTTATATCTGTATATGTGCACTTTTATAAATGTTTGTATCATTTTTGAAAGTTAAACTATTTCGTTTGTTAGGCCTGAGATGAAAAGTATGAATGGTAAAAAAAATTGTTCTGCATAGTTGAATAAATTGTTATTATTATTCTAATTCTTTATTATCTTGGTTTTTAATTTTTAGTTAAAAAATTATTTGTTCAATAAATAAATAATTTTACTTGCATCAACATTTATAATTTTATAAGACAAACCTGACAATACAATATGTATATATATATATATGATATATATATATATATATATATATAGTTTGCAGATCATACTTTTGATTTTTCTTTCTATAATGTTGTGAAAATAGTTTAATTTGTTACAATAAAAAATATAATTTTAATTTAAATTCATTATGCAAATGAACCTATTTTCATTTAGCACAATCACCTTCAGTGCAGCTGAAGTTTGTACAGCTTCCTAAATTTAACAAGCATTGTATTGTACTGCATTGTATTGCATTTTAAACTGTCATCTCCCTTTTATACATATGCTCACACGTTTCCTTACAAACTATATATATTTATATATAATATATATACAAAATGTTTCTGAATTTTAAGTTGAATCTAATTTTAGATTACATATTGATAATCACAAATATAAAATGAATATACAAATACATCAAATATATTTTAAATCGTTTTAAAATTTAAATTTTATTTCAGTAGAGATTTCACTAATGTATTTTGCCATTTTTTTTCGTACATGCTGAATATAATATAGGTATGTATATATTATGTATATATATAACTATATATTATATAAATAAAGATATGAATAAATGAAGATATGTATTATATATGAATGATTATGTACTCCTTTGTTTATACTTTATATGGATGTAATAAATATGGTCATTTGTTCAATATTTGTTTATTTATGTTATAAATTATATCTTTATGATTTTCGTGGGAAATACAAAATAGTTACCAAAGTTTGAACTTTGAATCAATAAATATAGAATTTTTGCTTAATTTAATCTCTCTGAAACAACATTAAGCTCCAAATTGTATTTTCTGAATTAAAAAATAAAATTTAAGTTTTGTTGAGTAAGATTTGATCGATTCATTACTTCAGTTAATATTATTTGTTAATTGTAGATTTTTTGGCAAAACTTTACTTTAGTGCCGCAACGTAAACAAAATTCGAGACAGTGATGTAAATGGAGAGTATGGAATACGACGTAAATAGGTGTAAAAGTGAATTTATGTTAATAACGCTAAATAATTAAAAATTTGTTTTCAAAGTTCCAGATGAAAATTATTGTTTTACATAAATATATAAAATGAATAAGGATTTTTTATTTCAAAAATGTAATGTTAGGACATAGCTTTGCAAAATGGATTAGCTTATTTAATTGATTATATAATAAAATTCCAAAATCTTATTCAAATTTTAACAAGTTCTAAAAATTTTAAGCGTCGTGGAAGCATATAATGATTAAAATAAGAAATTACTTCATAAACGCTTTTATTCAAATTTGTCAATTAATTTCAGTCATAAAGATGAAACATTTACATACAATACACAAATAGCTAGATGTCACCTCTCAACAAAATAATCAGTTTCTAATGATCCAGTGGCGTTGAAATAGTAGCATCGTTAAGCTGCAAAAAAAAAGTAAAATAATAGTCATGATTTCTGTGCCTACGCGGGCATGAAAGTATACATAAATACCTACGTGGTAAATTTTGTTTTAAAATGCTTTCAAAAAATACATGAAACTTTATTTAAATACATGCTAGTTAATTTACATGTTAAAACACTTCATGGAAGTTTATTTTAATACCTACGGTACAAAAGCATGCAAGAATATGCGTTTACTTTAATGCCTACAATGTTTAAGAACTTTCTCTTTAAAAATATACCGAAATTAAGATTTTAACCATACAAAAGTTATTAAATAATTGATGACAGTTATTATTTTTAAAACTTATTTTTAGTATTTCACTTTAAATCATAATAATTTTTATAATTCTAATGGTTAACAGTCTTAATAGACATGTTTAAATGCGTGCAAATAAAGGCATGGAAGTTTACTTTATAGCCTGCATGTTAAGTTTTATAGTTTAAAAGGCGTGCAAATAAATGGATGGAAGATTATTTTAATGTCTATATATTAAGTTTTACATGTTAAAATACGTGCAAAGAAATGCACAGAAGTTTATTTTAATTTCAATCGCACATAACCATGTAAGCGTGTGAGTTTACTTTAGTGCCTACAATGTAAAATCTTTCTCTGTATGCCGAAATTACGATTTAACCCTACAAGGTTATTAAATAATTGATGACTGTCAAATTTCACGTTAACTGTTAAACTACATGTTAAAATACATGCAAATAAATGCATGGAAGTTTATTTTAATGTCAACCCCAAACTTAATCAACTGAAATTCATCGTAAGAAAGATTGAAAAATTAAATAGAAAATTAAGCAACTCTGAAAATGAAGTGACCTTCTTAAACAACTATATATATATATATCAACCGCATATATATATATATATATATATATATATATATATATATATATATATATATATATATATGTATGTATATGTTGATAATAGACCATAAATTTTACAATATTCTATAAATTCTACCGAATGTTTGGTGTTAAAATGTTTGTAGTTAGTTTTTTTTAATGTCAACCCCTCCATAATAATAACTACAGAAATGGAGTTATTATATAACGCATGCGAAAACCTTAAGAAGCAGGGACTGATTTACTTTGATAATGCTCTTCACAGTCAGCCAGTCAGCTACAAGCTGAGGCACACCGTCACCGTAATATGTATCGTAAACCAGCTCTGTCAAAAGAGTTAGTCGCTGCAGCTAGGAGTCTCCGAAGTAACGACATCGCTATCCGTAAATCTGACAAGGCCAGCATGTACGTTTGAATTACCTCAAACTAATCAATTAATTGCACAGGTAAATCTTAACTCAACCTCTGTAAAACTCATCCTAAAGTCGGCGAATATAATCCAAGATATATCTATGGAAATGTGAAGACTCACAAACCATATAATCCATTAAGACCAATAATCTCACAGTGCCCCACTCCCACTTATCATTTAGCAAAGACCCTCAACAAACTTTTTGAGCCATATGTCCCTCGTACCTTCTCTGTCAAATCAAGCTTTGAGTTTATCGATATCATCAACGATAACAGAAGATGCGTCGGCCATATGGCTTCGTTGGATGTTGAAAGCTTATTTACTAACGTTCCAATTGAGTATACAATTGATATCATCTGTTGACGTGTATATAATCATCATACGCTTCCACAACTAGATATTCCTCCGGACCTGCTCATCGAGCTACTAAAGACCTGCACGGTTGAAAGTCCATTTGTTGCTCCGGATGGATCGTTATACCGTCAAATTGAAGGTGTCGCCATGGGCTCCCCATTGGGTACTTTGTTTGCTGAATTCTACATGTCAGAACTAGAGGCTAAAATATTTGCAGATCCTACAAATAAACCACCAATATATGCTCGCTACGTGGACGACATATTCATCATTTGTTCCTCCGTCACCGACATATACAATCTGCAGAATATATTCCAAAATAACTCCCATCTGAAATTTACAATAGAATTCAGCACCGATGAGAAACTTTCGTTCCTCGATTGCTTAATTCAACAGAAAGAAGAAGAACTAACTACCAAAGTTTACGTGAAACCGTGCAACTCCGGCCAGGTACTTAATTACAAATCAGACTGTCCTGACCGTTATAAAAACAATGTCGTATACAATTTCATCCACCGTGCACATAAAATTTCTTCTGACAATAATATATTTCAAACTAAATTAGTTCGTACCAAACAATTTCTAATCAATAACAATTATTCTAATAAAATTGTAGATGATACTATTAAAAAATATGTTCACAAACTCAATAATACAAGCAATCCAAATCATCCAACAGTAGCAACCAAAACATCCATACCATTATATTACCTAAACCAGATGCACGACAACTACAAAGTGGATGAATTACAGCTTAAACGAATTATAAAAGTTAACATTTCTGTCTGCAATAAAAACAATTATTTAAAATTCATTATATATTACAAAACTAATCGTACCTCAAACCTCGTCATAAAAAACAGCAATAATTCACCAACACCTACAAGGACAAGCGTTGTGTATCGTTTTACGTGTCCTATGCCACACAAAATTGTGGAAAGTTATATCGGTCAGTCACACACGCACTACTCTCTCCCGTAGACTCACCATGCAAGTACAAGATGGTGCGATAAAGAACCATATGACAACTGTAACAAGGACCATCTTGGATGCCAATACAACAATACTTGATTCAGAACTGCATCCTGGTCGACTCAAAATCCGTGAAGCTTTACATATCAACAAATATATATATATATATATATATATATATATATATATATATATATTCTGTTATTCTAATTCTAAGCTTTTATTAGGTTTTTTAATAATCGTTCTTCGTTCATCCGTTTTATGTGACGTGGACATAAAGTTTTCACCTTCATATTCTTTTTTTCGTGCCTTATCTTTTCAGGACATTGGCGACCATCGACCTTTACAGAACACAATTTTTAAAACTTTGTAGCAATTGAAATGTGGTGATATTGAACAAGTTACACAATGACTTCACAAATGTAATTCGTTATTGACCGCGATTTCTTTTCTCTGCAATCTTTCCAGTAGTTGTTAGAGCTTCCATTTTTTCTTTTCGCATGACATAATCGAAAAATCGTCGGATTATTTGTAGTAATTTCTTCTTTTCAAGTATGAAAAGTCCAACTAATTTTCATAACTGTTCTCAAAAACCGCATTTCAGTAGGATCAATCCTATTTCTATTTTTTTTAAATTCGTCCCGGACTCAGAGCCGTAGGTGAGCACAA